GTATGTTCCGCGTCGTCATTCGCTGAGAGGACTTCGCAGGTTGCAACGATTGGCTCTCGGAGTGTTGTGCGGAAATCGACAGGCGCGAACTTTTTGTGCATTTTGTGTTTGCACAAATGTGGATGTATGTTTGATAAAAATAACTGTTTTACTTGGTCCTATATTCAGTGCTGCAACTATTATGTAAATAGCTTACATGCGTAAACGGCGCATCAACGTAACAAATTGTTTTTGTTTTAGGGATTCGTTGATACTCACAAATGTGAAGACGCCGTGAGTGCTCGCCGTCATGTTTTGCTCATGAACGAAGAGATAGCTAAAGCGCCCCTGAACGTCGACTTGATACAAGACCGCATGATGCGGACGTTTCAGTCTTGCAAAGAATGGATCCTCAGCGATGCTGGAGCCCTCACAGTCCTTGAGGAATTTCCGGCAATGACGATTCCCGGAATGGTAACTCAATATTATCTTCTTTATATTTAGCCTTAAAGTTTCGAGATTTTTACAGGTCATCAGGACTTCAAAAGTTTCTTACTGCCCGTTTTATCGCCTGTGAATGATATAGGGACTTTTGATACGTGCTAAATTAAATAATTTTACCTCGTAATAAGGCTAGGCAATCAATTAGTTAACATTCCGATTAATTAACTATTGTTTTACTCTGAATCAAGTGAGTTTAACTGGCATATTGGTTGGATTTAGAGTTACGAAAAGTCTTATAAACAAAAAAGTAAAAAGAATATTAATTTAATTCTTTTTGTGTGTTTATAACACAATTGTCTCTCATGGCTACTTAAGTGTTTTATATGATTATTATCTAGAGTGGCTTTGAGGTTTAAATAATAACGTACAAATATTTTATTTTAAATGTTTTCCATGCTTTTCTTGTGTATGAGCACAACGGCAAGTTGATATTTGAACTTGTTATTGTACGAATATGTACATATATTTTATTTTAAATGTTAGCCATGCCTTACTTCTGTATGAGGCACAAGGACAAGTTGTTATGTACTAAGCCTTATAAGACGTAGTAAAACTTGTCAAAGAAAATATCGATTGTTCTAGGCCTTTTCTGGACACAATATCTTGCCTCGAGATCAGCGCGACCTATAAATTGATTAACTAGTCAATATAAAAGAAAACGTAAATCGAAATTATTTTAATTGACGCCAAGCCCTACTCCAATATAGTGACAGTAAGTGGTCATTTAGTTAATATATATATATATATATATATATATATATATATATATATGTGTGTGTGTGTGTGTGTGTGTGTGTGTGTGTGTGTGTGTGTGTGTAAACAATCCGTGTGTACAAATTCATAACGCATAAATGTACTTTTGTAAACCAGCAACACTGTCCATTCGTTGTTTATTTTTCAGTTACTACAAGACGTTAAACTGCCGTTCGGCAAAGACATCCGGAGGACATGGGAGCCAAGATTGAGGCATTTACAGCTTCTACACAGGTGTTCCTCAAAGGAAAAGAACGTCACTCTGAACCTCGAACAGCTGCTTGAAGGTATACTTTAGTTGGTGTTTTTGTAATCTATCACGAGTTTCAGACTGCGACGACGCAGAGGTTTACCTTCGTCCACCATAAATATGCTGGGTTAACTTACTACCTCATTACGAACTGATGACCGCTTATCGGGGCCATTCGTTTAAGACAGGGTTAACTTATACTCAGAAACAACTTTCTGTGGCGTTTCTGAAGTGAAGAATGCGTGTGCATAGCCTTGATTGGCGCTTAAGATGCGCGGGCGTTTTGAACTTCGACTACATTGCCAAAAAAATTGCCCAAGTCACCCCCGAGTATAGTGCATTGTCACAGATGGTAATGCAAACTTGTCAGGGTTATATCTTCAATATACGAGCTAGTAATATAAAACATATCCTTGCTTTAATTTCTAAAAATAATATAGAGGAAATATAAGCGACTAAAGTCAATGACAGGTTACGAAAAATCTAAAAGAAGAATGCCGATGGACGCTTGAAATGGAGAGAAGGTTTCTCCTCTCCCCTACAAGCTTCTGTCCGCTTCCTCCTCTCCAGCTCGTAGATTTTTTTTTTAACCTGTTACTGACTGTAGGGCAAGAAGGATTAAATATGGGTAGAACCAACGTTTCTTGAAACATGCTTAAAATTCCTGTGCATCTACTCCCCGCAGAACACTCGAGAAGCCAATCACTCCAATCCACGAAGAGAGCTCGGCGAATAAAAAGGCCAAAGCATGTTTAGACATATGAATGAAGCGAGAGATGTCACTGAGCATGACGGTTCACGTACTGACTTCATGCTCAGTGTCACGTTACAGACTTCATTTTTAAGTCAAACATATTTTCAGCTTCTCCATTGGCCGAGTTTTCTTCGTAGATTGCATTGATCGGCCCCTCGAGTATTCTCAAGGGAAGTGGACGCATGGGCATTTTTAAAAGCAGAGAAAATGCGGTGGCACGTTGGGCATTGTTTTACGTGTGTACTGCACATATATTGTAATTCATTGACCTACGATTTTCTTCCTTTACTACTTCTTGAATGGAAAGGGAACGCTTGATGGTGCGTACCATTTTTCGCTTTTACACATTGTTGTAGCGAAGTGGGCTTCGAAGGGGACGCTTCGTCATCCGCTGGTCGCGCTCTCTAGATCGCACTGATTGACCCACTAAATGTTTTGAAGGAAATCATATCTGCGGGTATGTTTTAGAGCGTAAGGCTAAACGAGAAATAAAATGCTTAGTGAAACCTATACAATTATAATTGATCTGAAAGCGCGGTGAATGAGCAACTCGCAGCATAATAATACAGAGGAAAATACATGTGTTCATATTCTTGCTTTCTTGTTGTAGGAAGTCCGGACACTAATGCCACTCATCCATCTCCAGGAAAATTAATTTGACATCTTTTTGGAAGGTGTCCTGACAGTGAGCGACATCAGAACGACAGTAGAAGCTGTGTGCACATTGCTGGCAGTGATACCCGTCTCGTCTTGAAACTGTTTCGAATTTTGTTAGCTTTTTTACTGCGAACAGAAGAATCAATTTTTGCTACTCCAATAAAGTATATGATTGGACATGATGTTTACTGTTCTGCCTGTCACCTAGTTAATTACGTACAGGAATGAAGTGTGTTGACTCTGGCCAGACTGATGTTTGTCAACCTGTCGAAAAGGCCCAGTGCTAGCGATTAATGAACGATCTAAAGACACTTTGGTTGGTAGAACAAAATGCACCTTGTGGAGCAAGAAATACAAAATACGATTTACTAAAACCTAACTAGGAATGTAAAAAAAACTAATTTGTCATAAAAGAGGGTTAGAAGTACAAAATATGGTTTACTAAAATAACGCCAACATAATCTAAAGAACTCGGGGTTTATTGAAAGAACCAAGGAGGGTTCCGGATAAAACATGAAATAAGGTTCATAAAGAAAAAACGAAGAAGGATCCGTAAAAAACTCAAAATAAGGTTCATTAAGAGCACGAAGAAGGGTTCTGGAAAGAACCCGAATATGGTTCATTAAGATGAACCAACAAAGGATACGAAAAGAACCCTGAAATAGGGTTCATTAAGAGCACCAAAAAGGGTTTTGGAAAGAACCCGAAATAGGGTTCATTAAGAGCACCCGAAAGGGTTCTGGAAAGAACCCGAAATGGGGTTCATCAAGAGCACCAAAAAGGGTTCGGGAAAGAACCCGAAATAGGGTTGATTAGGAAGAACCGAAAAAGGATCCTAGAAGAACCCCGAAATAGGGTTCGTTAAATAGAACCCAGAAGCGTTCTGAAAAAAACCAAAAGTAGGGTTCATTAAGAAGAACCAATAAACGATCCGAAAAGAACCCCGAAATAGGGTTCATTAGAAAGAACCCTTTTTGTGGGTTCTTTTCTGCACCTTTAAGGGTGCCGCCCATTGGACAAGCGAAAGAACCCTAAAAGGTGCTAGTTGGCACGCTTTTTTTTTAGAGTGTACGCTACCACGCCGTTATCCTCGGCGCTCATAAATGACTACTTCGAGGAACGCCATTCTTACATTCGCCACGCATCTAATATTGTAGACCTCCATGCACTCAGTCCCCCGGTTTCAAGTATTTTACTACACGTGTTGGCGGTGACGCGTTCCAAGTAACGGCGTTCCAAATAACGGCGTTAGCCGTAACGCGTTACTTTATTCGGCGACATAATAACGTACTCGTTACTTTTTCAGAACAGTAACAGGTAACGTACTTAAATTACTTATTCCGAGTAGCGAGTAACAAAGTTACGTTACTAGTTACTTTTTCTGCTCAAAACCTAAACAATATTACATTTAAATTACATAAATAAAAAAAAAAATTTAAATAAACGCAGAGTTATGTGATTTTTTTAGTTGTCTGCATATTCCTTTGCGTTTTTTTTTTCTTGTGAGTGCGATCAAACCGTACAAACATATGAAGTAATTATGTTCAAATTTCGCATGTACACCCGTGAGCGATATGAAGGTGAACCGCCCTCTTCTTGTTTTTGACGCTCCTGCAAGTTTTTGAACAAGCTCTGTTCCAAAAGAGGGCTAGAACGCAAAGTTTAAACCCCAAGCCACGTACCATTTGAGACGTTGAGAGTTGATATATCTTTAGGGAGCCGTTAAACAGGCAAGAAACCAGGTAAGGTGTTCACCTTCATATGGCCGGCGGGTGTACATAATGTTTTTTGAAATATGACACTTATGCATATCTGTAACGTCAAAACAGTACAACGTGTTAACTCATAATTAAAGCAGTCACGCAAAAATAACGTGCGTTACTTTTATCAATAAGGGTAACTGTAATGCGTTTCTTTTATTTTGAAGTAACGTAGGACTGTATCGCGTTATTTTTATTTGCAAGTAACGTATTCCGTTACTTTTTTCGGTAACGCCTACAACACTGTTTACTACTCGGTTTGTACTTACTCAGTCACTAGAAAAAACACAATACATCTGTGAATTCTGGTATGGACGATGAGAAGTATATTTAATATTCTTACCATTCTCTTTGACTTTCTTGGACTCTGTGAAACAAAAAAGAAAGTGTCTAATTTCAGCACAACTGCCTTCTATTCTGTCTCAGCTCCCAGTAATGCAGCCTATTCAGTTTAAATCAAAAGTTATTGGTAAGCAAACACGTCATGTTAACGGGACTTCAGTATCTGCACTAACAGCAGCTTTACTCCGAAAATGTCGGAAGCGCGATTTCGTGGCATGTCGCACAAAATAAATAAGTTCCATCTCTAAAGCGTCAAAAATAAAGTATTTGAACTAGAAACATTGAGCTTTCAATCCAGTGGTGCTTGCTTCTAAAATTCTCATTGTCATTGTGACACCTCGTGTGCCATTCACGTTGCCGCCTGCACAAAGTGTGAGGAGCGCACATGCCTGTATATAAAGTGCGGGGTGCGATCGCTGGCACCGCCTAGTATATTAATACTTCGTTAGCTGTCTTCGAGCGTTGCCATCTGGTCACAATATGTGTCATATGAGGTTGTGTAAAATGGTTAGCTTTTTTCTTTTATTTAGTCTGCGCTGAGACAGATCTGGCACACATTAATTCACCGCCCGCGATGACTGGGTTCGGGGTACAAACTCGATCTAAAAAAATGTATCAGTAACTTTCATCATCATTCTATGCTTTCGCTGTTGCAACAATCAGACGACTTTGGTTAGCACTCGGCAGCCATAGGTAGGAATTTTGTTTTTCAACCACATGTGTGCAAAATCTTAACGCGATGCGTTTGTAAGTCAATGTATGCCATCTCTTCGAACAACCATCGATTCCCTTTGACTCACCCTCAATATACAAGGTGCATTTTTTAATCGAATACAGATTTTATAAACAAAGCCGTGAAAGCTGCACAAAATGCAGTATGTGCACGTGAGTTATACGGCAGGCAGATACTATGTTCAAGAGAGAACTAAAATATGACTAATTAGCAAGAAGTCACTAATTATAGTTTTAATTAAACGTCTTAGGGCACGTGTTTTTATTGAAGAAATGGAGGTAATCGATTTTGAAGACCAGCCCAGTCTTTAAAAATCCCGGATCGAGCACGCAGTTGGAGTTATTCATTGTCAAATTCTGTTCTGTAAATTTGTCGACACCGAAACCAAACGCGCGATGCCCGCCGGAAGGACAATCCTCGTTCGACGCCAGAGAACTTTTAATTTGCAGAACGAAGCTTAACAATTAATAACTCTGTAACTGCGTGCTGCAGTTAGAGTTTTTAATCCAACTACATGGATTAAAAGAAAACTGGGCAGGTTTTTAACATTCATTGCCTCCATTTCTTCAATGTAAACATGTACCCTAAAACGTCTAATGAAAAAAAAATATTGAATTTTCGATCATTAGTTATCTTTTAGTTGCATCCTCTCGAACGTAATGTCCGCCTGGCCGTATAAGTAACTCACTTGCAGAGACAGCATTTGTGTAGCTTTCACGGCTTTCTTAAAAAAAAAAAATCTGTGGTTAGTAAAAAAAACAAAAAAAACATTCTGTATCATACACTTTAAGGAAAAAAAAAGGTGTATTCTCACACTCCTTGTCCCCTATAATACACCCCAAAACTTCAGTTCGACGTACAACGCGCTGACGTTGAACCGACGGTACCAACTTTAATGAGCGGCTTGATAGCTGAGTTGTACAACTTATTAAAAATAGCAAAGGTACGTGTGACTGACTCTAATTAAAAAAAGTAATCGGTGTTTTCTCGGCCCTGATATTTAACTAAACTACAACGAAAACACATTAAAAAATACCAGTGGGGCATTGGTATCTTTTAATGTAGTTTTGGATAGTACTTCAGCTCTTTAATGTGTTACATCGCACCGTTACCAATCCCCTCGTAAAAGTTGGGACCGTCAGTCCCATGTTAGTGCGTGGTACGTCGGACTGAAGTTTTGGGGTGTAACATATGAAGCATAGGGTGTAAGGATACACCCTTGTTTTTAGATGGAGGATGGTGATTAAATAAAAATTTTAACTCAGAGATGTTGTCTGTTCCTGTTTCTTTCTGTCGAAATGTTTTTTTTTTCTGCCGTAGTCTCGGTTCAAGTTCATCATGATTAAGTTCCACGCATCTCGTGCCCACCTACTGCATTTTCTTCACTCTCATTGTTGCGGTTATGCGCACAAGAAGCGCCTCTATTAGCACTGCGTGCTCACCGGCGGAGTCGAGGAGAACGGCGTAGGCGACGATGGCCAGCACGGTGGCTAACAGGGTGATGATCACCACGGCCACCACGATGATCTTAAAGGTCGAGTGCTCCTCGTCCCTGAAAGATGAAATCGTCTCCATGTTCCAACTACGACACGCCCTGTCCCCCCGTTACACCTTAGCGTTCCACTCCCCCAGAACTTCTCGGTATGAAAATATGCGCTTTTTAGGAATATCTGGCAGCACCTGGCAGGAAACGGGGCTCGCAGGATTCCGAGGATGAAAGAATGCGCGGATTAGGAAGGAGAGGGAAGAAGCGCCTTAGAAGGAACTTGGCGGTAAAAAAGATAAGTCGCAATAGGAACAAAAGACTTGAGGTGGGGGGGGGGGGGGAGGGGAGGGGAGGTCCATCGACAGCACCGAAACACAGTGCTGTCGATGAACAAATGCTTCACCTATGAAAGTTTCCAAGCGAACAAGATGATCCAATGTTGATCGCTCGATTCTAAACCCATACTGATTGGGATCTCAAGTTCCCTCAGTCTCTAAAAAGTGTACTAATCGTCTATTTATTAGTCTTTCGTAAGTTTTCCCAAGGCAGCTGGTCATTGCAATGGGACGATAACTTGCTGGTAGAGTAGTCTTTACCGGGTTTCAGGAGCGGAAATAAATGTGCCCGCTTCATTAAATGATTAAAAAACGTCAACAAATGGCCAAGAGATTCAAGAGACAAGTGCCGCAACATTTCATTGTAGATTTTGTCAGGACCAAGTGCCGACTGCTTTTTTGACCGAAGAGCCACCTCGAGTTCGCACATTGTGAAAGGCTGGTTGTATACAAGAGTGTCGGATCCCAACATAACAAATGGCCGCTTTTCTGCTACAGCTCTGAGGCGGGATTCTCAAAGCGAACTTACGACGAAAAAAGCGCGTACTACAAATTTGAGAGAAAATCCGTATTCTCGAAACGAAATTGTCGTAACTTTTGCGCAGGTTACGACAGAATCCTACGACAAGCTCCGAAGCTGTCTTACGCATTTTTTACGTTCAAATCAGCATGGCCGACTGCGCCGCTAAGTTACTTGGTCGCGACGACCAACGGACATTTATTTTTCTACGCTCTCTTCTCACGCGTCCCGACTTCAAGCAGCAAGAAAAAAGGAAGAAGTACTTGAAACCGACTACGACGAACATGAACTCTGGATCCACAAACACCTGGGAAAAGAAACAAAGGCAACAATCCCACCGACCAAGCGAGCTCGGCAGGCGATAAAGACTGAAGAGACTAAACGTTTAATGGGGCGAACTTGTGCCCAAAAAATAAAAGAGTACAAAGCGTCGCGGGCGTCGAAGTCGGCGTGACAGCAGAGTCGAACGCTGGGGCGAAACTGAATCCTGCTTACCACGCGGAGCCGCTTTTGTACACGCGTTGGCTTCTGGAGCATTCGATGTAGAAGGTTCGACGCGTAGAACCATAGCCTCCTTTATACTGAAAATGCCTGCCCAATGATTTCTTTGTCGTCGTCGCGCTTACTTCACAGATTTGCTACTAGGGGTGCCAAAACCCCATACAGAAATGCAGACGACGCTTGTCCGCTGCCTGCTGCTACAGTTCACTGTAGCTAGCGTAAGCTACTTTATCCGTTAAGCTACGTGATAACGTAAGTTTTCTATGTTAATTACGCGGTAACGTGACCTTACGTGATCAAATAGGTCACTTGATCACGTAATTTGTTTGTGACGCGAGTAACTTTTTTCGGTCATCGTTCGACCCGCAGATAGAGCGCTTAGCAATTGCCGGCATAGCTCAATAGCACGAAGCCGTCTGCTGCTCGTGGCACGCGCACCGCGGCGCCACACGTACAGGCGCGGTCATTTCATTCCATTTATTGATCATGGGCACATCAGCACCTTGTACTTAGCCCCAACTCTTTGTGCTGCATTCTAAGTCGCATGATATCTTACTGGTGTGTGCCAATGTGCAACTCGGACTCGCGAGTTGCACTTCCTAGTGGTCATTAAACAGGCTTCTATGGCTCCTGGTAATTCCCTCCTCAGGCGCCAGGACAGGAGAGGACTATACTATCCATCATTGAAGCTAGTGAGGGTGTTGCAAGCGCTGAAGAACTTTGTAGAGATTTTACAAAAAAAAAAACCAACGAAATATGTTGAAAATGAAAAAGCCTTAGCATGCAGCTGGTGATACTGCGGTGGATACTCTTAAGGCCGGTTCAGACACTTGCGTTTGAGTGCGTTATACTGCGTTGTGTCGAGAACCGAAAGCGAGTCACCGACACATCTGTGCTTCGTATGAAGCGTGGAATCCAATTCAAGGAATCATCTTGGCACGCGATATAAGCAGCAGGGATGTCCTGGTTTCTCGTAGCCGCAACGCAGTCAAACGCAGTCAAACGCAACTGTTTGAACCAGGCTTTATACACCATGGCGCTCTGAAATACGCAAAGGTAGAGAAAGATGTCAGCCATCAGAAAGATTTTCTGCAAATTCTGTGTACTAGATATTTCAGGCCAATTTTCACAAACTACTCGGCATCCGTGACTGACAAGCATGACTCCAAGAAGATCTTCACCAACAAGCCACAATCTACGAAGCCGTTAAAAGACTCTAGAACTGCATACGTGAAAAACAGTGCGGACCACAAGAGACCTGTCAAAACCATCAAGGGGCTGTGCACTTAAAAAAACAAATTGGAATTGTATATCAAGACCCCCGGTCAGTGTGTTGCCGACGGGTGCGCAGGCTTTCGGTCAGCGGGGACGCGCTCGCGGTCCTGAGAAAAACCACATGACTGCCGCATGTAGTCCGCGGGCCGTATGTTTTGCGGCTGTGCTCCAGTAGCAATAAAAACTCTAAAGTGGTCGCTGCTTCAACTTCGTGAAAGTCCGTCAGCCTGTCTGTCTCCTTTTTAATTGGCATTGACTATTTCTGTTGTCGATATGACACGCACCAGAGGTCTGGTAACATTTCAGCATACAAACAAAACCAAGACGTGAAAGCTAAAAAAAGGTATAAGACTTATTTATAAATAAAATCTATTCTGACAGTGTCCTGCGCCTGGTATGTAGCATGGGTTACGAATGAATTCAATTCACAAACGGCATCACAGTGGACTAGCAACGGGCAGGGAAGAAGAGTCGTCTGCATTTTTGTATGGGGTTTTGGCGCCTCTAGCAGCAAACATGCGAAGCAGGCGCGACGACGACGAAGCATGGTGAAGCCAGCCATTGGGCAGGCATTATCAGTATAAAAGAGGCTATGGTAGAACATTCTAACCTCGAATCAGCCTTGACGATTCTTGAATTCACCAGAACATCACATTACAGTGTAAACAAAAATGCGTAGCCGCGGCCAGGAATCGGACCCTGGCCCTTCGCGTGGGAGGCAAGCGCAATAACCGTTAGACTACGGCTTTTTTTTTTTTTTATTGGTTAGACTACGGTTGCGCTGCCTACTTGGCGCGCGGCAATATAGGCCTAGCAAGCCCTCCGATCTGCTCCGGCGCAGCGATGCTCCGGCAATCCTTGGCCAAGACCGTCAGCCCACGACCGTCTGGCTTGCTGAATGGAATATGCCCGCGCGACCCTTGTGGATTCTTCCCGTATGAATAGTTTGATCACTGAACTAAATTTCAGAAGTTAATCTCTTCCCCCCTTGTCATCTCAATCTCCTTGTTTTCCGAGGCAGCGGTTACGAACGCTGTCGTCGAAAAGGGACTCTCATTGGTTCTATCTCCTTGTTTTGTGTGATATATAGCTGAAAAAAACGCCGTATGGATTACCTTCGCAACACGGCATGTACACGTTTTGTTATTATTATGCCATTTGTATGCTTACACGACGCTATGTCACTGTCAAGCTACGCGATGCCGGTCCAACCTCTCTTTGCCGAGTGTCATATCAGTATCGAGTTGCAATCGTAAAAGATCGGTCCCGAAGCGCTTACCAAGACGCGGTCTAACAACAGAGCGAATCCAGCACTTTGATCAAACGCGCGCGTCCGCTCCGAGTATGAACCGGTATTTGCGTGGCTCTTCCTGACGCTATCGTTGTTCAAACGTATCTCTTTTAATGTCGGCTTGCTCGTGCATTTCCGAGGCCCCGGAAAGCGCCGCGGCGGTTTGTTTCCATCTACGTCGCTTTGCAAACGACTAGCACGGAGCTTTTATCAACAATGACAGTTGTGTTGACTTCGTAGCGATCGAGTTCGTAGCAGCCAACGAAGAGTTTAAATCGTGTTAGCGTCGATATATCACTGCACGGACACGAACCCCAGACAAGCGGTGGTGGAAAGGCCGTTTGTGTTTATGAGAAACAGCTTGAACACTGAACATTTACATAGAGACAAGAGAGGACACAGAGCTGACTATCGACGAGTAGTTAGCCTGTGTTTGTTATTGAAAATTCACGTGCTCGGAACTATGCCGAGCTTTCCGATTGGTTGTTCGTGTTGCCGAAGACGCCGTTGCCATAGCAACAGCCCGTAATTTTTCGTAGGAGGTTCTCGCCAGTCGTCATTTTTTTGTAGGAGGTTCTCGCCTCATTTTACGATGATCGTAACTTTACGAACTTCGTAGATAAGTTGTCGTAGGTAAGATGTTTTTTATGGATCTGGCCTCTGAACTTCTTAAATTTTGCAGAATAATTAGATGAGCTAGACAATTCACAGAAATGTTACGCAAGAACATTTGCCTGGCCCTTCAAAGTTGGTGAAGGCGATGGAAAAAGAGGCGTCCTAAAAGAGGTAGTTACCGTGAATTTTCCTTATTCGGTCCCACACCTCCTTAGAAGTGACAAAACTGTTCACCTTGGAAGCATATTTCATCCATGAGTTGTTCTTAGCTTGTTTCCTTGTCCAACGAGCCTTTGCTTTACCCACTTTAAACTATCTTTTTCCAGAAAGTTGGGTTTCGGCAAAAAATGCCCCAGGCCCTGTTCTGACATCTAAGTGTAACAGTACAGGCTTTGGTTCACCCAGGCTTGCAGCGCTCGGGAAGATCTTCAGATGTTTATGGAATGGAGGCAGATGCCGCATTTATGA